ATCCCACTTCTAGTTTCTTTTTCACTGGAAATAGAATATAAAATTCTTCCTTTCCAGAGTCAAGGAATATAATATAAAATTCTTCCTTCCTTGTTATCCGGGTTTGCCTTCACCCTAAAAGAAGACCGGGAAATAGAATATAAAATTCTTCCTTTCCCGCACCGATCTTTCCAAAATTTGTCAATTTAGGATTTATCCTAGGAAGTTTATCCCGAATCCTAAGTAGGGATAAGTCTGTGCCTAACACGCGCTGCCGGTTTAGTCTTTTTCCGTAGAAAAAGACACCAGGGTTCGATTCTGGGGTATCCTATCCTGAAACCTAAGCAAGGATAAGTCTGCGCCTAACACGCGCTGCCGGTTTAGTCTTTTTCCGTAGAAATAGACACCAGAGTTCGATTCTGGGGTATCCTATCTTGAAACCTAAGCAAGGATAAGTCTGCGCTTAACCTGCGCTACCGGTTAGTTCTTAACCGTTAAAAAGAACACCCGTTCACATATTCAACATTGTGGTAGGTTGTTATTAATAACACCAAAATCCATGCCTTACACGCATGGGGAATTTCATCCTGAATCCTAAGAAAGGATATGCCGACGTCTAACACGCGTCGCCGGTTTAGTCTTTCTCCGTAGAAAAAGACACCAGAGTTTGATTCTGGGGAATTTTATCCCGAAGCCTAAGTAGGGATAAGTCAGCGTCTAAAACACGTTGCTGGGTAGCCTATTCCCATAACAATGGCAAAGTCTACATATTCGAAGTTGTAGCATCAAGTCTAAGGGAGTTTATTCCTTTAGCACAACGTCACATACGGAACGGATTTAGATAACCCGCATGCTAGCCCGACTCAAACGGTAGTCGGTAAAGGCTAATCAAACCCGTTAAAGGCTGGGGGTTAGCCAAAAATCCTAAAGTCAACACCTAACACGTGTCGCCGGGTAGCCTATCCCCGTAACAATGGCGAAGTCTATGTATTCAACATCATAGCACGAAAGTATCAGAGAATTCACTCTCTTAGCACAACGTGACATGCGGAACGGATTTAGATAATCCGCATGCTAGCCCGACTCAAACGGTAGTCGGTAAAGGCTAATCAAATCCGTTGATGGCTGAGGGTTTGCCAAAAATCCTAAAAGTATTATGGTCAATCATTTCAAACGGAATGAGGAATCATAATAAAGATAAAGATAAAAACCAGTTCCACTAAAAAGATCAAAAGTCAAAACATTCAGCAAATAAAATCATACATCAAGCGCATGGCCAAAAATCTGCTGATTAAGCTTAGACAGTGTTCCACTCGAACCCTCTCCTCTTCTTCCTTCTGAAGCTTGGTATAAGCAAGAATGGCGGCAGCATTGGCGGTTACGTCTTCTCGGCGCAACGCGTGAAGAACCTCCAGCTCTCCTCTATAAACATTTTGAACCCTGGCGCTCTCGAGCTCAAAATATTTTAGAGTCCTCTCCCCTTGGACGGTCCTGACCCCCGTCCTATCAGCAATGTTGTTATAAGCATCCATCTTACTCTGCAGACGACGTTACCGTTCGTACAAGTTCGCAACAATGACTTCTTGCTCCGATATGCGTCTCGCTCGGGCCTTACGCTCTCGCACCCTCTGAGTCTGAGCATCGATCATAAGCGGCGTAGCCTCATCATGCGGGTCGAAGTCTACTAGCTCTTCCAAAAGATATATGAGTTCCTCTAAGCAGGTCAACCTTATCTCACATCGTCCAGCTAGCCGGATGCCACCTACACGCTGAATGTCTTTAAGACTATCTGCTAAGAAAGGGAGCAAATCATAATCTCTTCCCCGTCCAGAACTAATGGCGGTGACCGTTTGTTGTATAACCTTCTCTACTTTTTGGAGGATGTCCTGCAAGGATTCGGAGACCAGGAAGACAGATTCTTGGTCAGACATAATTGCAGCAATGGGATCCTCTTCCCCTTCATCGTGAACAAACTGAAGAGTAAGTGGAATGGGTGAAAAATCATCGGACGTCGAATAATAATCCCCACGACGTCCGTTCACCGCATGAGATGAAAATGCTCCGGAAGGATGCTCAACTGAAAACAAGCAATGAAACGTTTGTTAATTCCAGTTATAAAAGGAAATTGAACTCATCTTACGAATGAGTAAGATAGAGTCGTTGCCTTATAAAGGGTGAGACGATTTGGCCACATTGTGCATTCATAAGATAGGGTATATCGACAATATATCCCTGCTATATAGGGCACAATGCAGCGTCAAAACGCCCCCTTTATTTTGAGGTATGGTTTTGACCAAGCAAAACATATCTTTAAAGCGTCGATCCTCGCCAAGGAGAATCAAGGCTCTTCCCGATTGCCTCGCTAAGGAGAACAAAATGGGGTGAAAAGGACCAATTTGCAAATTTCCAAGAAAAAATAGACTAATTTGTAAATTTCTAAAAATAGCTCACCAGCATAAGAAGGAGGCGCGCCATCAGCCGACGCGGAAGAGGATTGACCCCTCGCAATACGAGACATGGAGACCTGCAAAATAAGTTAAGGGATCAGATCTAAGAAAAAATTCATCTTTTTTGCAATCCTCCCCCCTGAGAGGTGAGCTCGAGGCGCCAAATCTTAATCCTAACCCTCGCATGCGACCCCACAAATTCATAAATTGAATTAAGCATAAAAAATGCTAAAATGGTTGAGGATTTACCTGAGGGAAAGTTCGTGGATCCAATAAAAATCAGATCTTGAAAGAGGCTCAGACCACGCGCTCGAGGGGCCTGAGAGAAATTCTAAATATGGAAGTTTAGAGGGATTTCTCTGTCAAGGATCCAAAGGAAGACTAGATCTAATGCAAATATGAAGTTTTGAGGAAGAACGGACGCTCGAAGGAAGAGAAAAGTGGAAGAGATAGAGAGAGGGGGGGTCGGCCCTAATAAGGGGTAAAAAACCCTCTTTTATAATGTGAACCAAGACCAAGTTGAACCGGACCAGACCAAGTTGAACCGGACCAGACCTGGTTTGAACCAGAATTCAAATTGAAGCTGAATCAAGCATCGAAACAACTTCAAATCGACAGAGGGTTCAGTCCTTGGTTTATTCTTGCCTCTCCCACATATTCGGAAGGATCAGAAAATTTTTTGAGCCGAATTACTGCCTTTTTTGGCTCATTATCAAGCCGGTTCAGCTCATTCGGGCACAGAAATTACTCCAATAAGGTATATGAGTATAAACTATTCCCTATTTTTGGTTGAGAAGTTCCTGGAGAATATTTTTATAAATATTCTTAAGGATAACTCAACAACACTACACCGGACAACGCGTCGCAAATAAAGACTCAACGCCAACAATCGATGGTCAGTTCTATGTTGAACCAACAAACACGAGCTGAAAATCAGGAGTCAACTTCAAATTCGAAATTCCGACAACGGTCAGACAATAAATGCAGCACCGGAACTCTTACAGACTTTCGACAAAGCACCGAAAAGCCTGGAGAATTGAAGGAGTCAAGAACAGAAGCCATTCCGAGGTCCCGTTATACCGACTGAAGGTAGGGACAATCATATCCAAAGTATCCCAGACTCTTCTATAAAAGAACGAGACTGAAATACTTTGGAGGGGGTATCTGTAGGCATATAAAATTGCTTATAGGTCCCCTAGCATAGCTCGGCACAAACCGACGAACCAACGAGGCGACGAGATCGACGAATCGCACGGAAGCGACGGAATGAATCCACCCGCGTGCAGAATCAAGCTAATGAGTTGAGGAATCAACGAGCCATCCAACCAAGGGGAAACTCGGACGAATCACGATCGAAAAACTCTGCCGGATTGAAGATCGAGCTTGGAGTTTTGAAGACTTGAGGACTTGAAGATTCAGATCTGATTCTCGGCGAGCGTCCACGTCACAAAAGGCAGGAGTTCGAGAGAGGTAAAGATCAGATCTGAGATCTACACGAGATCACACTCCGGATTAAAGCTTGGCCTTTGATCCCGAGATTCGGACGATTATTTCCTTGGTGAACTAATCCTCCCCGGCTATTATTCCCTTCGCGGAATAATACCCGTTGAATCGTGTAGATCCGACCGGATCTAGATCGCGCGGTGGTCCACGGATTAACCCCGGCGTCGGCAAAGAACCCACACAAAGCGAGCGACCGCAAAACAGGAGCTCGCGATTTGTTCAAAAGGAGAAAGTTATAATTTTTATTTTTTTCTTTGATTTCGTTGTAACCTGATCTAAAAAAGACCGGATCTTTCTGTAACTGATAAACTGTTACCAAAGAGTGCAATGAATTCAATGAAAGCTACGATTTTCACCGCGAACAGTATGATCCGTGTCTTATTTTTTTCTGCTGTTCCCTTATTGTCGTATGCATGAAGATGATGAATAGAACTGGGACTAGCAAAGAGAACATCCAAGTAGCTTAGATGTGTGTGCTTATATCTTACTATTTGGAGCCTGAAAGTGGAGGACAATGAGTTGTAACTTTTTCTGTTTTGAGACAAGAAAATGTTCAAATTTGTGAGAGTTCTTGGATGTATTATATTATGGTCGATACATTTGTGCTGCATATGTGTTTATCATTTGCTATTAAGTGCTGTATCTAATTTCCAAACGTCGTTTTTAAGTGAGTTATTATCGTTCATGTATTATATTATCGTTCATGTTTAACAAAATTGTGAATGCTGTCCACCTTATTTGCAATTAAAAACATGGCAGCAAACTCGCAAAGAAGATCTATATAATATGCATCATTCAGCATTGGAAGCCGACCAACTCCATCAATGTCATCTGATCTTGGTCTTTGAGCTCTTTTAGACTGAAAATTATTTTATGTTCAACCAAAGAACCAAAGAATTTAATTGGGATATTTTGGAGATTTCTTTTGAAATACAGAAGACTCACAGAAAATTTTGTCATATTCAGTAGTTTACTGCAAATGACAGCAATTTGAGGCTTCACAAATTAAGCTATGATGTCCAGTGAAAACTTATATACTGGAAGAAAGCTGAAAATAACATGATCTTAGTAGAACCAGTACATCATATATCGATACCAAGAACTCTATTAAAGAAAGTTATATTACATGAGAACAATGCAACAAGCACACATGCCAGTGCGCGCACACAGACACAAGAGAATCCTTGTATGTTCACACAGGAAAATGCATGTGTATGAATGAAGTAGAAAATGTATACACAAAAAGTAGTATTCTTGAGAATCAGCACTCGATCTTAAGGATGTGCCATTGGTGGAAAGGGTCGGATAAGACTCTAGAAGTAGTCTGTAGAATAATATAATGCATTGCCATGTCTCCTGTAGTTCTGTAGAATATATAATATAATAGCTTCAACTTATAATAAGCACAAATCCAATAACATCAAACTGATAACATTGTTATTTACAAAGTACTAACTGATAACAAATCCAATAATACGTTCTCACACCCTACTTAGCACAAATCCAATAAAAATACCAACTAAAAGAACAAATATAATAAGCTTCAACAAATCCATAATATCAATCTCAATCTTTCTCTTTTCCTGCACTTCTCCACTTGACACGGCTCTTGAAAATTGCGGCGTCACGCTCCACTGCTTCATCTGACCTTCAAACTCCTCTTCATCAGATACCCATTTGAAGAATCCACAATTACTCACTTTTCAATTAGCGCATCCAAAAAACAATCGACCAGGGTTCCTCTTAGTTCCAGATCTGGAGAGTATAGCCCTCATTCCACAATGACACAACAGTACATGACGATTGCTTGAAGATGACTCCATGCTCCACGGCTTCATATATAAAAGTTTGCATATTCATAGCAAATGGTGAATAATAATTGGCAAAATAATAAAAACACACTCAGGATGGCAAGTGTACACTTGTGCGTCCATGCATGTGTGCTTTTAGTTTTATGTGCAGGTGTGAACTAGTTCGCTTTATATTTGTTAGACACCTTCCTGTTATGTAGTCTTCATATTACTGACACCATTTGAACACATTATTTCATTAATGAGACTGATTTGTGCTGGTTAGTTCATTTTTCTTAGCATCCTCATCATTCTAATATTGTAAACATACATAGATATACTTTACTTTTCCAAATTTGCTTGTTAGTTCTAAAACAATGCAACAAGCACACATGCCACTCCTAAAACATTTTCGGCTGATGTCGTCGGAGGAGAGCTGATCTCGTCGGAGGAGAAAGCAGCGGATTTGGGGATCTCGTCGGAGCTGATCTCGTCGGAGGAGAAAGCAGCTGATCTCGTCGGAATTGGAAATGTAGGTGAGATGAGCGGATTTGGGGATTTGGGGAAATTTTTGAAGTCACGAGTTGATATTTTAGGGGAGAGAGAGAGCGGTCACGGGGCAATAAATTTCAGGAGAGAGAATGCTCACGAACAACGAGTTCACGGAGGAAAAAGCGACTTTTTTGCAATAAAGCCCCTGCAGCGCACAGAGACGGTGAACTGGCAGCATAAATGGAGATTCTTGTTTACAAGAACTTCTTCATATTTGTGTTTGCTAGGTTTCATATTTGTTGGATGCTCCCGACTCTAAAGACGAACAGTTTTACTTGTTCACAGCCAGCAGTTAACAAAAAATGAAGCTTACAGATTTTGATATCCAATTCCGAATCGATAGCATGAGTGATGCAAACGAATTTAAAAACAAACGAAATCACTGCAGAGCTGCATGATGCAAACTAAATCATAACTCAGTTCAAAACAAATATCATCCATCTCCAAAAAATCATCACCAAAAAAATTCATCCATCTCCAATTTTAGCACAATCCAAACATAGGGATCGAGGGAGAGATCGAGAGAGATGAGAGAGAGAGAGAGGAGGAAGCGTCTTCGACGGGGCTTCGGCGTCGAAGACTCGAGAACTCGTGAGCGGATTTGGGGAAGCGGCGGCTCTGTTGCAGGAGGAGGGCTGATGTCGTGGTGTCTTTGGGGAACGGCGGAGGAGAGCTGATCTCGTCGGAGGAGAAAGCAGCGGCGTCGAAGGCTCGAGATCTCGTGGTGTCGAGGGCTGATGTCGTCGGAGGAGAGCTGATCTCGTCGGAGGAGAAAGCAGCGGCGTCGAAGGCTCGAGATCTCGTGGTGTCGAGGGCTGATGTAGTCGGAGGAGAGCTGATCTCGTGCGCTGAGGAGAAAGCAGCGGCGTCGAAGGCTCGAGATCTCGTGGTGTCGAGGGCTGATGTCGTCGGAGGAGAGCTGATCTCGTCGGAGGAGAAAGCAGCGGACTTGGGGATCTCGTCGGAGCTGATCTCGTCGGAGGAGAAAGAAGCTGATCTCGTCGGAATTGGAAATGTAGGTGAGAGAGCGGATTCGGGATTTGGGGAAATTTTTGAAGAGGAGATTTCTCTATTTTGGGGGGGAGAGAGAGAGGTCACGGGGCAATAAATTTCAGGAGAGAGAATGGTCACGAACAACGAGTTCACGGAGGAAAAAGCTATTTTTTTTGCAATAAAGCCCCTCAGCGCACAGAAACGGTGAACTGGCAGCTTACCTACAGTTTTCTCATATATATATGTATATATATGTATATATATATACGTACATACATATATATATATATGTATGTATATATGTATGTATGTATGTATGTATATATATATATATATATATATAGATATATATATAGATATATATATATATATATGGGAAAAATGTTCCTAAGATGACGCTTTAGATAATCATCTAAGGACGCAGCCTAAAATCACATGATTGAGTTACATTTTGGATGATCCGTTCCGTTAAACTTGATCTACATATTCTAAAACCCCAACACACCATGTTTGGGGTGAACCCATTGTCGTTTGACCCTCCGTCGAGCCATGTAAAAAGTTCTATTCATTCGAAACCGTTAAAATTGATACGAGTGGATGAAGAGTTAAACGACGATGGGTTCACCCCAAACTTGGTGTGTTGGGATTTTAGAATATGTAGATTAAGTTTAGCAGAGCGGATCATCCACAATGTAGTGTCGCTTCCTTAGATGATTATCTAAGGCGTCACCTTAGGAACACTTCTCTCTCTCTCTATATATATATATATATATATGTGTGTTTGTGTGTGTGTGTGTGTGTGTGTGTGTGTGTGTATGTGCGTGTGCACACACATGTATGTGTGTGTTTGTGCATGAATAAAATAGAATTAAAAACCCGTGCCACCCCCTCGTGGGGATCCTAGGTTCAATTCCTATGTGTGCTAAAGACGCACTAGTTGTGGTTATTGGTGTTGTTGTTTTGTGCGTCAAAGGCGTTTTTTTGTCAAAGAAAGGTAATTATTTGATTTTTTTTATTATGAATAATTAAAGAGAATTAAAAATATAATTTTTATAGTTATGAATAATTGTGATTTAATTAAGATTAACACATATTTGGTTATATTGAATTTTCTAATTTTAGGTAGATTTAATTGTGACGAGGATTATAATTATGGATAGAAATATTCATCATATAAGAATTCTAATTTAATATTAAAATAATATATGACACATGTCATACCAAATATTTGATTATAATTAGAATTTTTTTAATTTTGGATAGATTTATTTTGATGAGGACTGTATTTATGGATAGAAAATACCCATCATATAAGAATTCTAATTTAATTTTAAAATAAATATGATAGATGTCATTGACTAAGAATCCTTTTAATTTAATATTAAAACAATATTGAGAAGTGTCATTGTTTTATGTGTTTAGATGACGCTGTTTGGTACCTTTAAAATACCATCAATTTCTCATTATATATAAATAAATGAAGAATATGCACTATATAATAACATACATCATAAGAATATATATGTAGATGGAAAATTTTAAATACAATGTAAAACATTGGGCTGAGTTTCTGAGAAAATGATGGGCTATATGCTTGGTATAGTGTTAGTGGGTCTCCTAAAGGAATTCTCGCAGAACTCCACTAGGGTTTTAGATATGCAACAACCTAGTCAACTAGAGATATGGACTGAATTCTAATAACTTGAAGCTTTGGAGCTTGTGTTATCCTTGTTAAGAAAAGTGAGAATCTTGAACATTTTCAACTTGGCTTCCCCTTAAAAATGGTCCTTTTCTCTTTATTATTTCGTGACAAAGATGGCATGTATCTATTGTTTACTATGGTAATTGGTAACATAAATCTCATGGTAGTTTACTATCTTTGTCTAATATTTATGATAGTTTTGTCAAATATAAATACTAATTCATAGCATTTTTAATTTAAAAGTTGTGTTGTTTTCTGCAATAACTATGTCTTATGGTATTCTTATGTAAAACAACTAAATAGTTCATGATAGTTGGATTGAGTTTGAGGCTTTGATAGTTTGCTTTTTTTTCTGAGTAAGGATTTTATCAGAACACCCTATATAAAGGGACAATCTATATCATTCATGGATGGTTAGAGAGTTAGTTTGGTAATGTTGACCATCCTATCAATTATGTTAATCACTCTCTTCCCACATGGGTGGTTCTGATGGGGTCCCCGCCGTCTTTTGCTCCATCCCCAAATTATTTTGACCTTTGACTTTTGACTTTAAAGGATGTAAAGTTTGTATGCAAGGGTAAGCTTTGACTTTTGTTGAACTTTGCTTGTTTATGTCCTCTTTTACTTGGCTTGTAACCAAACAACTTTTGGCTCATCTAAGGTATCAATAGCTTAAAGATTATCCATTAGCTGTCGGCATAAAGTTTTGCTAATACCAAAATATTGCGTGAAATATAAGTTCTCTATTTCATAACTTACACTGGAGAAATTACTTGGGTACTTAAATTACACAGATGACCTAAGCAGAATAGAAGGTTTTAATAAAACCAAAGAAATTTTGTAGAAGAAAGAACAAAGTGTGTGTAGACTTTGATGGTGATATATAGAAGCAGTGACTCCCATTGTTGAGCTACCAACTTATAAAAAGGCTTGTGGGATCCACTCATCCCACGTGACATACCAATGGGCTTCACCATATATTTATTTTTTTCGATGACTCATTTAGCAAAAAAAAAAAAAAAACCACGTCACGACTCACGCATATTAATTACACAAGCAGAAGAGAGAATAATCTGATTGAATCTTAGTCAAGTGAAGAATACGAATACTTAGTCCCTAGCAATGGCTTAGATTTCAACCACATTATATGATATCGTCATTGTCAGATGTATGTATATATATTATCACATTACTATTTAGAGGATTTATACCAGATTATGTAATACTCTAGGGACCAATATAAAAAAAAGACGTGACTTGGTAGCTTGAGCTAAGCTCAATTGAAGCTGGTGTGCAATTTGACCAAAAGTATAAATATTATTCCCGAATGATGCAAATGCGTTCAAATTGGTAGGATAACACCATGCTCCTCGGCATTATTTGGCCTTAAAAGTACAAAAGAACAACGAGACACAAAATCTTGTACACAACTCTACACCTTATTCCCTTCGCACGTGAGCAGCACATGGTATTCTTGGATCCTCAATAGTCTGGCCCATTGGCGAGCTTGCAAACCTTTGTACGCACACTAACTGAGTTTGTTCGGATCCTAAACGGCATTGGGTCCTGACCCAAAACGGGGGTCCAAATCAAAGAGAAAAGAACAGGGTGCGTTTTGTTAGTATGTTAAGGACAAAGGAGATGTGGGCATATTAGGAGCCTTCAATTTGTTTGGTGTGAACTTATCTCACTCATTAATTCATTTGTTTAGTATGTTCCTTGATTTAATAATTGAAAAAGATTTTGATGTTACACTTAGTTATAGCTTTGGATACATTAATTAATTGTGTAATGGAGCTTTGATTTTTTTTGAAAGAAATAGGGTGAGATGCCCTGTTCATACATTACTGATTATCCAAAAAATAAGAAGTCAATCTTAACCTTGAAGATACTAGCCTAAGTGCCACAAACCAAAAATCCCCACTTAAGAATAAGGAGAAGACCATACCCGTCACCTATTGCGAAGGAAGGGAGAGACAAAGAGGGGAACTTAGGCTAAGCATGCAAGAGAAAGATATGTATGAGAGTATACAAAATTTGGAGCTTACACCAAGCCCCCATTTACATCCCAAAAAAAAGACTATAAGCAGAAGTATAGAGTTATAATTACACAAAAGAGTTTATCAGAGTTTGTATCTTCAGAAATTGTCTCCAACCCTTGTCATGTCGTGGGATGAGGAGTCCTATGGCAACAACAACTGTGCTAGTCCCCTATCAGTCAACACCTTATGAACGATGACAGCTCTCTTGGCTGGAAGGTTGCATGTCCATAAGATTACAAAGTGAGAGATGTTAGATGCTAGCACGCGGGGAGATACCTCTGACTGATGGAAGATCAGGTTGTTTCGAACCCTCCATAAGCACCAACAGATGGACAGGAACAGAACTGCCCACAACAATCTATCCTCTTTTGTCCACCAGAATGAGCCATTGGATTCCAAAATCAAACTGAATTCATGAGAGAGAGGAGATATATGTAGGAATGATATGAAGTAGCCCCGGACCAGTTTGATGTAAGAGCAATTATGGAATATGTGGTCGTTAATTTCAGGTTCTTCATTACAGAAAAGAGCAGGAGGTGTCACCAGTTCAACCTTTATATTTAAGGTTCACCTCGGTATTGAGCTTTCTCTTACTTAGGACCCAAAAGAAAACTTTCACTTCGAGGGGTGTAGTAGATTTCCAAATAAAATTATAGCATCTGAATAAATGTCCATTGCCATTGATGAATGTGTATATAGATTTAACCGTAAAAGTTGCCCGAGGGATGGAATGGCCACCAAGCCACATCATCGACATAAGTGGGCTAAGCTAGGAGGTAGGAGAGATAATGTATTAGAGCCTAGACCTTTGATCTATCAAAGATGGAGATAGTTCTTCTGACTAAAGACTACCATCTTCACCCATTGCTGTAGAGGATCCCTTGAGATCTAATACTAACATTTAATGATAAAGAAATGTGGTATGCCCCAGGGAACATGGAAGCTAGGGTATTGGGCCCTGTCCATTTATCCTCCCAGAATCTAACACAGGAACCCTGTTTGCAGGAAAAATCGAAAGAAAACTGAGAATAAACTTGTATTAATCTCCTTAACTGACTTAAAAAAAGAATAAATACAACTTTTCTTTGTAATCTCTCTCTAACCGACTTAGAAAAAATATTATAACTTTTCTTATCAGTTCCCTGATTTACAAAAGAGAGAAGGAATCGACGAAGATCATTCCCTTTATTTAAAACTGGGTTTTTCTTGGTGGCAATGAGAGCTTGAATCTTGTATCCCGTTGATGATCCGAGCACCTCGTCTCGTGGAATGTTGGTC